GTTGTCTGTCTCTAAGTGTAGCCCTGTGATAGACTGGTTACCTGTCCAGGTGAACCTGCCTTCACCCTGAGTCAGCTGGGATAGACTCCAGCCCCCCGTGACCCTGGTGAGGATTAAGCGGCGTTTAGATAATGGATGGATGGATCATTATTTAGCCTTTCTTATTGAATCATATTGACTCCTCGTGTGGTGGTAGCCAGCAGATTGGGTATTTCTAGTAAATATAGTGATTTCATTTTACTCTAATCTGTTTCTACTTCATGTCAGTTCTACCATCACATGAAGGATTAGGAATGTTAAGATCAAACCCAATACTCCACACAGCTTTATAGTTTTATAGCTCTGCAAAGGAGAGCAGAGAAAAAAAAAAAACCCAAAACACACATAAATAACCTTGACTTGACAGGATATTGCTTACATTAAATATTATAGGACAATCAATACAGCTGCATTTGAGGAATGTGTGAAGTGAAGATCAAAGGAATGCTGAAAATCCTTGCAGAAGACAGGATTTTGTATCCACACAGCAGCGGAGAAGAATGAACTGTTTGAACCCATCAGTTGGTAGATAGAGAGGCGGCACAAATATACAAAGGCTTAACTGTCCAAACAAAGCAAAACAACTGCTTCTAAAACTTCCACAAAGGAGCCAATTTCTGCATTCATTGCAGAGCTCACTTAGCATTTCTGTGCATGGTTTTTAGCACCTGCAATGCGAACGGCACGGTGTGGATTATAAATCCGTGCGAGGTAATAACACGGCTTATTAATCAAAACAATGGAATTCACTGCCTTATAAAGCAAGGCAGGATTACGGCACATAAATGCGGCGTACACTGAAATATGGCTTATGAATTTATACAAACCAACACAGCAGCTTATGGTGCAAACAATAGAACAGTTTGCTTTACAAATCAAATCTTATAAATTCAATTCATGCAGTAAAACGGTTTGTAAATTTACATGCGCCAACGCGAAAGCTTGTGAATCTAAATAACTCAACATTTTGTCTTGTACGATGCACAGGAAGCGTCGACACAGTGAGCATGTACACAGACTGCTTATTGTGTGACTGGAAAGTCACACAATAAGCCTCAAACATGCTGCAAGGTAACAGTTCGCTAATACCTGCAGGGATTTTACATGTAGAGCTTTTTACTAGTCGTGAAGAATTCCATCCATCCATTATCTATACACCGCTTAATCCTCACTAGGGTTGCTGGGGGGACTGGAGTCTATCCCAGCTGACTTAGGGTGAAGGCAGGAGACACCCTGGACAGGTTACCAGTCTATCGGTTTGAAATCCTATAGATGTGTTTAAAAAATGAAACCTCTATCATTAAACATGAATCATGCTCATCATCCTGACTATGTGTGTATGTGGTTGCATCAAATTTGATTGCATATTTTATCAAGCTGCTGCCAAACTGCCCCACAACAGTCATCATGCATACATTCCTGTATTACTAAATTCTGATTTAAGCTTAAAAGTACATCAAAAAAGTACCATTTCAAGCTAGTGAAAACTTGTGTGTCTTTAAAAAGCTGCTGAAATTAATAATAAGTTCTTTTATTTAATAAGTTTGCTTACATGTTTGTCCAATTCTGGCACTAATACTTTTAGTAATTACTTACCAAGTAAAATATCTTTTTTTTTCCCCACCGTGCAGGCTGCTTAATGCAGTCGCTTGCTGTTTAAAGACAACTAGGACAGTATGTAAATATTTATGAGATGCTTAATTTGCAATTAAATTACAAATTGGTCTATTCAAGCAAAACCAGGGTTGTTGGTGCTTCTTAATTACTCTTGGGTTCATGACCACACACGCTCTGTCATAGTTTCAGTTTTAAACCTTTGGCTTTTCCTCAGCAGTTACATTCATAGTTTGTCACAAGCTACAGACGTTCAGTCAGTGAATATTCGCCTTAATTTCTCTGCTACCGGTGGCCAGTTTTATCCAGGTTTGTTGGTTTGTTTTCATTCCACGGTGTCTTTGCTGAGATGGCACACAAAACATGTGCAGACTGATAAAACCTGATAAAAAAAAAAGATGGATTTGTTTTCTTTTTCTCCTGCAGATCTATAAACAGACCCTGAGGCTGAATCGGGCATTAAAACTGCAGAATGGAACTGCTGATGTTGAGATAAACAGGGCGTCAGTAATGATGAAGTTTGCAGGTGGTGGGTTACATGACTGTATGACGTGCAGGTTCAGATTCATTTACAGATTATTTAAGACTGTCCACACAGCTGCCTGCTGCATGCTTGTTTATTGATTGTGATTATTGTTCAGCGGACAGGAACCATCGACTCAGCACTTTCACATTCAATAGTGCTGAGAAGCTGGTGGCATTTGGCCAAAACCCGTTTGTTGTAGAATATTTTGCTTCCTTCAACAGTATGTAGATATAATAATTCTTTAGGAGGAGACCAGTCTTGGGGATTGTAGCGTCTCTGGATCCAAGTCTAGGAGAAGTTTACACTGTTGGCTCATCATCTTTCATGCAGCCGATCAGGCAACAGGATTAAGTCGAAAACATTTTAGTATGTGTGGAAGAACAAAACATATATGGTTATGATCTGATACTGATTTCTAGATTTTGTTTTTCATTCAGGTTTGGTTATAGAGGAAGAATTTCTATAGGCGAAACCTTCACCACTCAGACATTTAGTCAGTAAAAGCTTAATACATGTGAAACAATGATTTGAACTGCAGGTGTTCATACAGGCAATGATGCCAGAGACTGACTTCATAACACAAAAAAAACCTCCAGTGCTATACAGCATCTACACATTTACTAAAGCTGCTTAAATGTGCAACATGCAAGATTTTGAACATAAATATAGAATTAATATCGCAGCAATCTTTAGCCGTAAAGACACCTGTTCAAGTGCGATGTCCAATGATTCTAATTTTGTTCCAAACAGAACCTTTAACACTGATGTAAAAACCCATACATATAGGAGTTTGCTTTCTTTAACATATTTGTTGGGTTGCATTGTTAAGTTTATGTATTTCTGATCACTTCATTTAGTCATCAGCAGGATAAAGTCACTTTTTTGGCCTATAAAAAACAAACCTTGTCAATTGCCAGATGAACACTAAATACAGATGTGGGAACTGTAACCCAGAGTGTGGATTCTGTCCAGTGTTTTCTGTACCTGGTCTAATTATAGGACACACAGTTGCCTTTCTGTGAATGAAAACATTAACTGTCAGTGCTCCATTAAAGCTGACACACATTGCTAATTAGCATTCAGCCTAATGTGACTTCATTGTTATGCACAAAAATGAGTGTTGTCGCATGAAATGTTGGTACGTCAGCCACCAAACGCAGGAATCATGAAGACATGAAGCCAGACTTTGGCAAACAGCAGACAGACAGAGGGACATTACTGACCGAACAACACCCAACAGCATATTTGCTGAACAAATTGCAGCGAGTAAATAACCACTTAATGAATTCTACACATCTGACGACAAAAAAAATGCAAATACTGAGCTTGTATTATTCCTGTTTTTGTAAACAAGGCAAATTTAAATCTGCAGGTTGAAAACACCTCTAGATATATTAAAAAATGCAGGACCTACACTTTGTGGAACAGATGGCTAATCAAGCTACCGTAAAGGTGAACGTTTCTGTTGCAAAGTCTTCAGGAAACAGAAATAGTTCTGTATAGTACAACTTTTGTACAGTGACATCAGACGTGAACTTAAGTGGGAGGCAGAGAGTTATACTCCTGGGACAGAGAACAAAAAGGGACTCAAAACTAAAAGCAGACTTCAGGAGGAGCAAAGGCAGAAACACTGAAGTGAACTACTGTTTCCCTGGAGAGCAAAGAGGATATTGTATGAGAAGATAAATTGCGTACATTAGAGATATACTAAGCTACTGTGGGGGAGACAGAAAAGCTCCTGAGAAATAAAGGAAAAAGACATCAGAGCCACCAACACTGCTGCTAATGAAGAAGTGCTTCAAAGTCTCCTCACCGATGAAGAGCTGGCTGTTGAGCTGCAGGTGGAAGTGTCCGTCAGCAGGAGCCTCCTGCGTGGCGACAGGAAGGTCGTCCAGTCGAAGCGACGCCTCCTTGACGTTCCGCTCGGCCCGGACTCGGTGCCACCGGTTGTCATTGAGCAGGTCGCTCGACTCCACGAGAACCTCCAGCGGTCCGTTACCGACATCGAAGGAGAAAAGCACCTGAGTGGAGGCTTGAAGGGGGAAAGAGAAAGACAAAGGAAGGCGTCAGAGGGAAAGCTGTGATTTTGGAAACTGATGGAGACAAATTAACTACATGTTGACACATTTTTATTCAGAAGAAAGTCATGAGACTGAAACCTTTACAAACCTTTTACTGTTCTGTGTAACTCACCAGCTTTAAACAGGTTTCTTCCCTTTTAAAAGAAGAAATGAGAAAACTTCTAACAAAACAGCCTCGTACTGCTTTAACCCTCTAAAGCCCAAACATTTTCTGGGCGTTTCTTTTCTTTCTTTGCTCCTGCCACATTTCTACTCAATGTGTCCTTCACGTACACAAAAACAGAACAATCATGACTAGAAACAGCCAAATCTATCATCATTGATAACTTCTGCCCTTTCAACCTGATATAAAGATGGCTGACAAACTGAAAGCAAAGTTACCACAGTGTCTAATGGAGATGTGCTGCCAGAACAGCCTCAATGCACCTCAACATTTACTGGGTTTACATGGACCTGAGCTACACGGTTCTGGCCAGGTTTGCCTTTTGTGCATGTAAACGTCACATCCTGATCACATCAGATCATAAAGACGATCACTTACAACAACTTTCTATTCATTTGCACAGACCGTCGCCTTTTAGGGAAACAGAGGACCCAAACCATACCAGAAATATGCCGCCTACAGCATCTCAGCAGACCGCCCCACTGCTGGGGTCAAGCATTCTGGATTCTTTCTACACTTGCCACCTGTCTGCATCGGTCACGGTTAAACTTTGCAGAAAAAGAACTGGGAAACCGTTCATTGATAAAACAACGAGCTGGAAATGCTTTTAGCTAATACTTGACCAATCACACACACACACACACACACACACACACACACACACACACACACATCCCCATTTAACATAACACACATTAAAAAAACACCCAATAAACACAAGACAAAGCAGTTCTATTGTCTATATGTGGTATAAAAGCTGCAACTTATCCTCAGCTGCTTGACAAATCCATAATCTCATGGCACAGATCACCACATCGCTCTGCTCTGACAGAAACGAGCGAAACAGTTTTGATAAGGCTGAACGGGAAGTGCTCGTTTCAGAAAGTGTCACATCTTTCGGTCTCAGCTCACAAAATTCCTGTTATGTTCATTGCTGCAAAGAAGACAGGATGGCGTTTCTGTAACAAACTCGCATCCTTCTTGTTTGGGAAGCAGAAGATGCATCACTCTGTGAGCACAGAACGAGATGAAACGACATCCCGGCATCCTGCAGTAACTCGGTTTAGAAGCTGTTCTCGGGACCAGCTGCAAAGCGATGTGAGGCAGCCGCCGACAGAGCAGCAGCAGCATTCAGAGCTGGAACAACCACGTTGACAATGATTTCCCTCAGGAGAGCTGCTGTCGGTGCAGCGGTGTCCCTGTATGAGATTCTGTGCGTGTGTCCCTTCAAACCGATAGTTTAAGAAAATGCAAAATGTGGCATCGCACTAAAATAGCAAAATAACCTCGAACTAACCGGGTTAAATGGAGTGAAAAGTTTTCAAGAGGTAACTATGGGCGACTGCAAAACACTTCTAACATGATGTCTGTTCATAGATGTGAACCTCACTTTGCTGCATTACACTGCAATGCATAGTAGAGAAAACCCATTGTGGTTATTGCTATGATGTTCTAAATGACTCTACATATAAACCATCGAGGGCAGCCACGATATGGCAACAGCTGAGCTAAAAAAAGAAAGAAGAAGCTGGAATATTCTACCTGACACACACGATGGGCAAAATCTACAAAGCTTAGCAAAACACAAGATGATGAAATATCAGAGAAATCTAAAGTGAAGGGAAGAACAGTGAATGTTTCTGCTCTCACAGCTGCAGCCGGTCTTTCCCCAAAGCCAAAGCTCACATGATGTCATGTTTATGTCCCACTTTGTGTTTGTGTTAAACCAAAAAGAAACGTCATGTTAATTAGTTTGCTATCTCAGTCTAACGTGTTTCCTCACTGTGAAGATAAGATGAAACTTTATTAATCCTAAAAAAAAAGTCTCATGTCAGATAGAGTTCATAAAACAAAACAACACAACATGAGAATAAATGCAGAGCCTGAGAGAAAAGCAATGAGATAAAAGTGTGACACATTACTGAAAATCTAAATAGACAGGATTCAATACGACGAGAACAGGAAAGTGAGAAGTCATACCGGCAATGATGCTGAATGTGTGATAATGAACTATTGCACGATAAATTTAAATATTGCACATGAAAAGTAAATATTACACACATGAAGAGAGGCAGGCAGGCTTTGTGTCAAACACAACGTCAATCCAGCAGGAAGTCCAGACACAAATAATACAACGTGTGCGCACAGAAAACATGACAACACTGTGCTATTCGCCTCGAGATCCGTGTTACACTGTTGTTGTTGGGTTTTTTTTTGGTTTTTTTTTGACAACCCGTAGTTGCAAATTTGTGATTCTTCTGTGGTCATCAAACTAGAGCAGAGAGCAAACATCAAATTCTGTGTAAGTCAACAGCATGGAAGTTCTAAGACCACTGATGGTAATAACAGGGGGTCTAAAGCTAACACTAGGAGAAGAAAGAGCAGTTGTCATAGTGGGAGAGCCTGTAGTCTCCAAGACATGAAGCATCTGCAGCATGCTCGTTGTTTTGTGATGTTTGAATTCATCCTCCAGGGTCGGACTGGAGTTCCGCTGCAACATCCTGAGTTGTGTCCGAGGGAGAACATCTGATGCAAACGACCTGATCTACGGCCTGACAACACGTGGAAGCTCCAACTGCATCGGCTCCTTGGTCACAACAACACAATCATCACCACACCAGCTGCCCTTTTCGCTAGATTCAGTTCTCTGTAACTTCTCCCTCTTCCCCCAAATTGAATTCAACTTGAAGAGTCGCCATTTTGACACAGTTTAGGAGATTTAGCACCCGTTGCAGATGGTGCTCGACATGCTTACATAACAGGACTTCCAGGGAACGTTAGAAGTGTGACAACAGCACTCGGAGCGCTGTATTGCTGCAGAAGGAGACTACTTTGAACTGGGTAGTGGCTAAATTTAAATCAGGCAGTTTTGGGCTTTTATAGAAACTTTTTCATCTCACACAGATGTAACAGAATGACTTTTTTTTTTCGTTGCACTTTTAGTAAGAAGGCCAAAAAGTGGAATTCTCAAAATGATGAAATATTCTTTTAGTTTAAGTCTACAGAGTGCACCCTACAGTTATCCAGAGCATCTGTCATTTATAAACATTACAGCCAAAAGTATGTAGACACGTACACTCCTTCTTGTTTTTGCTTTCAATGAAGAGAAATCAGTGACTGAAATTTTTTTCTAAATCAATTTTACACCCAGCGTGATGTGTTTCCAACATGTAAATAAGACTGTGTGCCAAACTTTAAATGGTATTTCTGGTTTTCTGGTTTAGAAAAAGGGTGACGTGATGTATTCTTGTGAACTTCTGTGAAATCCAAATCTAACGACAGACGTGAGGCACTTTTCTTTGCACTGTTCATCAAATCTGATCACACCACATCTACATAGTTCTGAAAATAGATTAACTCAGTTTTTAGAGCATCAGTTTCCTAAAATTCTTTCTCAAATGTAATTTAATGATTGCTTGTTGTGTCATGTACACTTAATGTTACTGAGAAACATTTAAAGTTAACTTTAATATCAATTTTTTGTGGCTTTAATGCTACAGAAGACCAGACAACATTTAATTTCCTTGCTTTGTGGGAACTGTCTGAGGAAAGCCCTGCCTTGTTTCCTAACCACACGTCTCTCATGTGCACAGCCAGGTTTATAGAGTGAATTTTCCCAGCTTTGTGTGCAACATCTTGGCTGGCCTGCACAGAGCCCTGACCAACCTCATCCAACACCTTTGGGATAACAACTTTGAACCTATTATCATCTAACATCAGTGATACTTCCTGCAGCCAGGGGTCAACATCCGGTGGAAAGCCCAGACATAGAGAAATGCTTGTGGTTTATGTGGTGTATGTATGTTGTGCAAGACACAGAAAGATGCAATGTGTTTGTTAAATTCACAGTTGAAGTGGGGTTGGGAAGGTCAAGACAGCTGGATTTAACCCAAAATAAACGATATTTTCCCTGCAGGATTGTCTTGATACAGATTAAGTTTGCATCCTCTGGGTTTACACAGATCCAGATTAAAACTTTGACTTCCAGGTTTCACTCATACTTCACCCTAATCCGCATTAAGTCTTCCCCCCTCCAGCTCCTGCAGTAACTCACAGCTCAGCTCGATGCGGATGAAGTCTTTGATGCCCAGGTTTTCCAGGAACACACCGGAGGAGGCCGTGGTCTTAAACAGGAAGGAGATGTCTGCGCTCAGCTCTCCGTGGAAGGTGGGGAAGTGGAGGTACGACGTCTCCTTGTCGAAAAACGCAGCGTTCCAGAAGTTCTCTGACAGAGGCATTAAAAACCCCCCAAAATTCATCGTCATGAACTTGAAATCAGAGCGCAAAAAATCAGTTCAACTCATGAATGTACACAAGGGTATGGTTTCTGCTACGTGGTTTTGCTTGATTAATCATGCCAAACATTTATTTAATTATCTACTGGGGTAGATACAGAGAGGCTGTAACTGCAATTAACTGAAGGAAGGAAAAGTGCATCAAGCTAGTTTGATTTACCTTGTAATGCGTTTAATGAGAAGCAAGTACCAGAGCGTGAAAACCTAAAAGGACGCATGCATTATCAGCAGCTCTGTTAATGATAATTAGCTTCTAATTGACCAGTAGAATGAAATACCAAACTCAGAATTCTGTGTTTCTGTATCAGCAACACATAGAAAATTAGTCATAATGATTTACAATTACAGGTTAGTTGCTTCAATGTAGATTTACAAAAAACACTTATCAGTTTGAATCCTTGGACAAAACAGAAACGATATGACACTTTTCATAATCGGAGGATTGCTGACATCTCTCCATCAACTGTAACCGAGCAACCAGAGGTGGACTTACTGTCTCCATGACAACGCAGCGGTCCCACCCTGTAGGCAGCCTCCGAGCCCGGCCTCTGGATGTCGCCCAGCACCAGAGACCTGACCGGGAGGCTCTCCTTGTGGGTCAGGAGGCCCGAGTCTTCAGTCCTGCAGGAGGAGGAGGTGAAGAAGAAAAAGCAAGAAAAAAGACATTAGAGAAAAAGAAGATGAGGAATAATTAGGAAGAAGAGAAAGAGATGAAGGAGAGGAGGTAAGGTTTATTGTCACAGTGCTACGATCTGTTGCTTCACATATAGATATGAAAGTAACATTATAGAAAGCATGAGAAGACATTGAACTGTACAGAAAGCCTACAGAAGTGTTTGTGTATATACTGCACACTGCTCTATTGGAATTCAGCAGCTTGATGGAGGCTTGAACAAACGACGGCTTCAAGCGTTTTGATTTGCACTTTGGCTCCATGAGTCTGTTTCCTAATGGAGGAGGTTCGTATTCAGAAAGAGGGGATATTGATAGTTTTTCTTGTTTGTTTCCTGACAGGCTCTGTATGGGCTCATATTCTTTTATCCCCATCACCTTCATGGCTGCTCTGTGCATGCTGGCAAGCCTGCTTTTCAGCTGCAGCGTTCGGCTGCCATACCGTGATGTAATTTCCAAACTAATAATGCTCTCCAGGATCGCCCGGCAGAACATCAGCAGGATCTGGCTACTTGCTCCACACAGCCTCAATCGCTGTAGAAAGTGAAGCCTCTCCCGCAGGCTTTGGTACAGATTATCAATGTGTGTTTTTTCTGCAGAGGAGGAAGACTATGTGGACATCTTCATATTTATACGAGGACCCTTGAGCGACTGCCTGGATTTGGGGCTTATGGATCAAAGATCAGTATTTGTTTCTTATTTTTGGCAAAGCATACAGTGAAAATACTACATGAGGGATCATTAAAAAGCATGTTCATAGTGTGTAGTTTTAACATGGCAAGAACTCAAACTCTCAAAGACATTAGAAAGTGCATCATGTCTGGAGTGTGCTCGTCTTCTGTGTGGTGACTATGCTCAGCGTTTTCAGCCACAAAACGATCGCCGCTCCCCGTCCACCCTGCTTGCTCGATTTGTCTTTCTCTGACTGAAACTGAAGCTGAAGTCTCATCGTTCTGGCACAGTTTAGGAGATCCAGGGCTTATCGCAGATGGTGCTTCACGTGTTTACATAACGGCACTTTCCAGGGAGTGTTAGAAGCGTCGCAGAAGCACTTGGAGCGCTGCATCAGTGCACAAGGAGAAAACTTTGACCGGGATAGCAGCCAAGTTTACATCAGGTACGGTTTTTGATTTTTATAGCTACAATCTTGGAACCTTTTGATCGCACCTCATAGCTGATATCACACGACTTTGTGGGACCCTTGAGGAGACGGAGATGATGAGAAGAAAAAATGAGGTGAATGAGGGAGGGGAGAAAGGGAAAAAATAACGAAAAAAGGGCAAATCGAACGTTAAAGAGTGTGAAGCAGAGGGAAAAGGAAGAGAAGGAGGACAAGAAGAAAAATGTGGAGGGTGGAAACAAATGAAGAAGCAGGAGGATAATCAGATGCGGGAAAAGGACAAATTAGTTTTTATCGGATAACAAATAGCTGTGACATTTATGCTAATTACGCTAATTTTCTGGCATAAACTTACAAGCAAATTGTGCTGCTAAATATTTCTCAGCTGTTTTAATAATTTACCACGACCTGTTTTATGTGTCAGACGATTTTTCTGGAAGACATTTTAACCGTGAGTCAGATCTTATCACATCCATCCTGACACTCCTCGATGCTCCATCTCCGCCAATTTCTGTGACGGGCGTTTTCCTGTAAGAGCACTCCAGACAGACAGCTGAGCGAGCATCTCCGTCCATTTACACCCATGTTCACATAATCTGCATGTCAGTCTTGTTGTCAGGTGAGAATTTATCCGAGGCTGGAGAGGAGTAACGTGTCCTCACAGCAGCAGAGGAAAGTTTGACAAAGAGATGACAGAAAGAAGGAGTGCAGGTGTGATGAAGACAGCAGGGTTGGTCACCGTCGAGCTTTTCCTGCACAAGTGTAGTTCAGTCCGTTTGAAATGAACGACAAGAAAGAGTACAGCAACTTATGGTTTGGTTGTTGAAATGGCATCAGTTCATGCTAGTGTATTCATAAATCACGAATCATATCAATTTATGCACAAGAAAACAACAGTACTGCTGTTTATCTTGTTGTTTCAGTCTTTTGTTGTGTAACTGTAATATATTGACCAACAGCGAAGTATCAGTACAGGCATCTAGCTTTCATTTATTCCTATTAAAAGCAGGGCAGCTAAACTGAAAAATACAAATGAAATCAGAGCATAAAAGAGCACATACTTTACCTCTGCCTAATTATTTAAATCAGAGGAGGCCAGCAAAGTGCTACTGAGAGCTTAAATTACAACCAAACGCTCCAGCTGACTGATTATCAGGCAAGACGTCACCTGCTGCTGGATGAACACCTGCACATCAGCACATGGTCGGACACACCTGCTCTGAACGCATTCCAATACAGCAAAGCTAACGACTAAAAAATCTATTAACAGTTACAACAGAGGGGAAGAAATAGCTGCTTCACAAACAGTTTGGCTGCAGGGCTACTGTACTGGATCACACTGAAGTGCAGAGGGAGTCTTCATATTAAGGAATTATTTATATGAAGGTGGAATTGTTGAGCTGTAGAAAATGGTCAGACATGCGTATGTGTAAATTTCAAGGGGGAAAAAATCTTTAGGAGGAGTTTATACACTCATGATGACAGGTCAGAAGTTTTTTTTTTTAAATTACTGTTTGATTCAGACCAAAAGTTTCGAGCTCTAAACGGAGCTCATCAACACTTTTGCTCCACATTTAAGATAGATGAGAGGTGTAAAAGTGAAAGTGTACTTAAGTTGGTATTTGTGAGCAAACAAAATAGCATTTTAGATTTGTAGTGGGGCTGCGAGGTGTATCAGTGGTTAGCACTGTCGCCTCACAGCAAGAAGGTCGGCAGTTCGCCTCCCGGTGGGGTCTTCCTGCGTGGAGTCTCCATGTTCTCCCCGTGCAGCGTGGGTTCTCTCCGGGTTCTCCGGCTTCCTCCCACAGTCCAGAAACATGCTGAGGTTAATTGGTGATTGTAAATTGTCCGTAGGTGTGAATGTGAGTGTGCTTGGTTGTCTGTCTCTAAGTGTAGCCCTGTGATAGACTGGTTACCTGTCCAGGTGAACCTGCCTTCACTCTGAGTCAGCTGGGATAGACTCTCCATGACCCCAGTGAGGATAAAGGTGTAGAGATGATGGATGGATGGATTTTTAGTGGCAGATTCAAGCAGGTGTAATAAAAAAAGAAGCTAAATATTTTACAGGTGTCCTTGAATGTGCATTTACAGACGTAGAATTTTTCTTCCTGACCTCACATTTTTTGATACGAGAGTGATTGTGTGTTCGTATGAATTTCTTATTTGTGATTGTGAGTGGGATTTGTCCGAATGCAAAAAAGACTTGGAGAAGGTGTAACTGTTATGGGAGAAGAAATACATATACCCGCAACTTTTGACTTAAAGTTTACTAAAAAACGTGTGAATATTTTGCCCCACGAAGGCTTCATGTTTTTGTAAAGAGAGCAAACTTTGCAACTTGAGTAAAGACAAACTAGTAATGGGTTGTATGTATTCATAGAGGTCAGTACCACTCCATGCGGTCGGCGTCACAGTTACAGTAGTGTTGTGGATCCACACAGTCGCCCTGCAGGCCGCAGGCACACTGCTGGCTGCCTGGATGAGCTCCTCCCCAATAGGTCTGGACACCACCAGAACCCGGACCACCGAGCCACCAGCTGAACGGAGAACCCTCTGAAACACAACGGAAACAAACCCAACAGTGTTACATTCTAATTATTTCACTTCAGCCTTTAATAACGTTGCCTGAGCTGCCTTTATGTTCTTTTACAACCTGTCTGCTTCGCACTTGACCCGCACTGTGAGTAGAAAATCAAAAAAAACTGCAAAACTATAGCTGAAGTGTCTATCGGCTGTCAAAACTGGACAAATGTACAGTTTGTCATTCCCTGACCGGCGTGATTTTGCTTCACTCACACGTATTCTTCCTGACTAATTGGAAGAAAACTTGATTATGTCTATAAACATTTTATCCCCTCAGGATTTTACCATCAGAAATGAACAGCTGTGACAATGATTGGTGTTACCGGAACTCTCTGAAGTCATTTTCTGTTTACTTTCAATAAATGCAACCCTATTTGTGCTTGCTGGCTGGTTGTGAATTTATATCAAGCTGTCAAAAGTAATAACCAAAAAAAGAGAAAGAAAAAGCTCATTTTACTTGGGCAAAATTTTTGGCACCTCTTCTCCATTGCACTGCAGCTTCTTTCCCCCTCGACGCCACAGAACTTATAGCACAGATTCACTCTCTTTGGAAATACTGTAACTGTCCGAAGATTGACTGGAGCCGTGAGAAAAAAGTTCCCATCTCTGAGCCTCCTGAGATGAATCCAGCGTTTGAAGCAGAGGGATGTGTGCCAGGTCCTAACCTCAGTGCTGCATATATTGTTTTCATATGGAGGACAATGACTGCACGTACTGGAATGTATATTTCACATCCTGCGAGTGTGTAGGTGGAGAGGATGGCAAGAAGGTGATTGGAAATGTCTCTGCTGCGTCAGCGCTTCTTTATTTTCCCAGTGAGCACCAGAGAGTTCATAATGGAACTTCTATTTCTCTCCACATCCTTCCTGCTCTGCACCTTTCACGATTTTCATCCATCATTTTATTACCCGCCACAACAAAAAGTTGCTTCGCCACTCAGATTTCTCCTGTGTATACTCTTTGTTGTCCGACAGGAGGTAGAAACTTTGAAGAGCTGTATTGATCTGCACAGGAAAACTGGCAATCAGAAGATCCTTGATGAAGGTCTGAAATGTTTATTTGTTTATCCAAGTTGATGGGAATTCAGTCAGGTCACCACTTTAGCACAAAAGGAAACTTGTTAGGATTTCATCTCTTTTTAGATACGGGACATGTCACACTGCTGCTTCATCAGTTTGTTAAAAGTGATGATATTCTGTCACTCAGACACTTCTACATGTATGATCCTGCTGGCCTTATTCAGACATACCACCACAGTGACTGAGTAATACTCACAGTATACATTCAATATATGACAGTACATCTACATCTATAAATCTACAATTTTAGCAGCTTATCACACTGTACAAGCACCTAGCAGCCTGGTGTATCTATGACGTCATGAACCACCTCCATGTGTGAGGATAATCACTTCCCAATCACAGCAGCTGTGATGGAGTTCAGCCTATCTGTCTTTGTCGCAGTATCGTTTCATATTTATCAGCATGTTAGTTTGCAGCTAATAGATATGAAATTGTCGAGCAAAGTGAGTGAAGCTGTGTGCATTTAGGTTGTTGTGCTCTCTGTGATGTTTTCAGACCAGTACTTGTGCCAAAATGGAGAAAAAGCTTTCCTTAATTTGCTGGATACAACCCGAAGTACGTCAGTAGGATTGCTGTTTCAATTCACAGAAAAGTGGTTGCTCATTCAAACATAAAATCGAAACTGTTCACCAGTTTAATGGAAAGGAGTGCATGTCTGCGAGGGGCTTCAACCTGTTCTCGCTGCGCTTTGCGCTTCTTATAGCAACATTCAGCTTGTTAAGTCCAGTGTGTCGTTGTCTGTGCAGCACAGTTAGCACCGTACAAATGAATGCACGCAGCTTCAACAAAACTATAAAATGCTCAAATGCGCATGCAGAAATGTGTTTATTGTGTTTAATGACGTGTCTTTGCACCGACTGTGATGCTCTGTTGTTCCTCTCTATGGACTCTGAAAGCCTAAAGCTGCACAATTCATCCAGACAAATTGAATGTAACTTCGTGATCAAAGCATTTCTAATTCAGTTTATAATACTCACCACCTCCGAGTCAATACAATCACACGTAAACACACGACCAAACAAAGAAAACACTAACCTAACTCAATACTCATTCCAAGAGGAGGAGGCATTAAACAAATCCTGAACAGTCTCTTTGCCCAAATCTTTTGTGAAAGAGAAGGAGGGGAAAAAAACAGCAGAGTGATTTTCTCCTTTTTTTTTGTTGAGACTGAGAAAAAGATGTGTTGAGCCCCGGCTGAAGAGAGCCTGCTTTACCAAGCTTTCATTAACTTTTATTTAACCCAACACCTCAATTAAGAACAAGTTCTTGTTTACAGGCTTTTCTTATTTGAGCCTGCACTTGAGGCCGACTGAAGGAAAAGGGATGAAAAAACTGCTTGCACGCTCTCCCTCCGAGTGAAGATTAAATGAGATTAAAAGATTAAAAGGATTAAAATTTAGATAAGATGTTTAAATAGTGAGATCTACTTTTGAATTATTAAAGCATAATCACAAGCATAGAATGAAATAAAATCAAACTTTGGCACCAGAAAAGAACGTGTTTCAAGTTGTTCACAGATAAAATAGTAAGAAACTGACTTAAGAATCCTGTTTGTTAGATTTTCAGAGAGACCGACATCCAAAGTTAATCAGAGCGCTGTTAAAACACAACAGTGTGGAATTAGAGAGAAAAGTTTTGTTCCTCTGCAGATAAAAATGAGCAATCGGCACAATTATTGACAGACTTCAGGCTGCAGAAAAGAGCTAAAGCTTTGTTGTTTCGAACCCTGGCTGAAAGGGGATAGGTTGTCATTCATTCACCTGTTTTGCTGGAATCATTTCACTCTTTAAAGCTTCCAGCTGTTCCAGATGAGCAGCTGCGTGTCTGCCAGTGTTAACATCTACTGTGTCCAGACTACGTTGTGGCTAACAAGCACGCATTACCTAAAGTGTTGAGGAGGCGGGACTTCCTGCAGTGGTAGGACAGCTCCTGCTCGCAGTGCTCTGATTGGCTGATGGCGGCCAATAGTTGCTCCTCTTGAGCGGAGTAGTCAAAGTGGACTAAATGCTGATTTACACCTGGAGACGGCCGGACTGAGGTCAGCTCTGTGTTGTTGTGCTGCATCACCATCCATGTGTTCTCCTCTGGTAGGAAGCAATTCATACAATTGACAGTGATTAAATATTAGCGAATTAAAAATTTTAAACTGCATGAAACGTTTGTCCTGGAGCACGTGTAGAACGATATACATGACACTGAGCCAAACTCTGAAAATAAATAACACTCTTTTTTTTTCTACCTCGTTAACATGTCCATATGGTATTTTTTATATGTTAAGATAAGATAAGATCAATATCATTGATCCCTCACAAGACACAGAAGACATCATGATCAAAATAAGCAGCGACCACCCTACCCTTCATTTCTACCTTCAAACTGTAGCAATGAAAGTCTCAAAACACAGATTCAAACTTTCAGGTTTTCATATGTGACAAACTTCCCGTCGGCTTGCAGGAAGAAACTTTCTACATCATCATTCTTCTTTAGAATCAGTTTCCAGTTCAAACATCTGCAGCTGCATTTTATTGTCTTAGTACTTGTACAATGACAACAAAAGTTAAATCTAATCTAATATAGTCTGAATTACTCCAATGCTACACCTTGCAGTGCAGCGTAGAGTCATTTTACAGTGTTTTAGTGGAGTTTTGGGTGAGCTGGTGCGCTCAAGCTGCAGTGGGAAAACTCAAGTGGAAATAAAAGCAGGACTTCAAATATCTGCACATATTTTAAGACCATTTTAAGACAGGAGTGGACTATTGTCATGGAGAAAAACTTCTAAATATGTGCTATAACTTAGATACACAGAGCTGAGTAACCCTGGAATAGACTTGTAAAGAAAGGAAGTGAAAACTGAGCAAAGTCGAAGTTTCAAGGGAAAAATAGTAAATTATGTAATATAATTATATTTCAGAAGCAGATGCCAGAGAATGTTTTTCAGTTGTGTTTAAAAAGACAACTGAGGGATTTAATCGATTATCAAAATAGCTGCAGGTTAGGTTCCAGGCATTTCTAACTGTTGCAGATCTACGTTTTGTTTCTCATGATTACTCAGATATATTTACTGTATTTATAATGCCGGCCATTGCAACAAGCACCGTTACCCATTCATGCAAACAAATGTGACAAATAGAGAATGACAAAGAAAGAAAAAGCCAAAATAGAAAACAGAAGAAGCATAAGATGCAGTGAGACAGAGGGAGGAAGTGTGTCATCATAATTCACATTTATACGATTATACAAACGGCATGAAGGATGGAGTCACGGAAAGACACGGGAGGGAACGAATGAGGCTGAGACGGAAAAGAAAAAACAGAGGGACGGAAGATAAAGTGGGTCAGAGTGTGATGAGAGGAGCATCGTCGTTTACAATGATGTAAATGCTAATCACAGGAAACGCTGAGTGACGACAAGAGGAAGAGGAGGAGTGAAAGTGTTGGTGTGTCACCTGTCATGTTGCAGTAGACCAGCTGTGGTCTGATTGGTCCGCTGCCGTCCACGTCGATGTAAAAGTGTCCAGACGTGTTGCCGTTGTGTTTGTACGCCTCGCAGGACTGTTCGTACACAGCTGGAGAGGGAAACAATGAGATCAACAGCATGTGAGGGGATGAAGATTATGGTGCTGCTTCATGTATCGTCACCGAATCAGTGTCTCATGAAGAGAATCATCCGAGGTTTTATTTCTGCAGGAACAGCCAATAAATTAAAGCTTAATCCAACTGGAGACGACAATAACACCTGACAGGAACACACAGACGCCATAAATTAAACTTCGCCAGACTTTTATTATCCTTATTCTGACTTCCTCCCTCCATCTCATGCCTGCATCCTCTGCAGTCGAAGAATCAAGTCGAATCCATATCTTAAAGTTCCCACACTCCGCTCACCTGTTTATCTCCACTGCCAAAGGCCTTTTATTCATCACATCCCCTCAGTGTGGTTCGAAAAACGTTCTTTCACAGAGACATCAGCAATAAAAATGAGACCGGAGGCGAAACCATGTGGGAAACTCTCCCTCTTTTAGTCTCGAGGATTTTACTCGAGGCAATCGGTGAACAACCAGTAAATCTCACCTTTAAGCTCACCTCGCTGCCACGGCTTTATTTATTTATCTGGCATTTGGCATTTTAGTCACAGCTACAGTCTCATTACCTTCCATCATATCGCTCGCGTACAAACCGGTTTTATAACACTGTGACCTCCTGCATCACAGACAGAGAGAGAGAGGATGTGCAGATATTAAATATAGCTCCGGGGTACGGACTATTTAAAGGAGGATGTTACAAAAAAGGCTGTTGGATCAGGACACATGAGCAGTCAGATGACCACACAGGAGTTTAAGATCAGGAGGTTTTCAAAGTTTAACGCTGTGTCTCCCTTCAGATGAACAACATCAAGAACACTGTCTTTTTTTTTCATTTCTGAGCAGGTTTACAGACGTCTATCCGTCCTGGAAATTGGAGGCGTTTCCTACCCTATCCTACTCAAACGTACAGGGAAACTAGACTGTATGTACCACTTTGTTTCGGGGAAAAACTGAAACCAAAGAACCTGTAATAATCCATGAAACAGGACAAGATAACTACGGAAAGTACGGCTGCAAACTAAAATGGATGTTCACAGTAGTAATGCTGCACTTTTCCCCGTGTTTCTCTACAAAATAGCTTCAACCCATCTCACTTCTTTCTGGCAGTGCTGTCATCATCTGAAATATCTTTTTTTTGCCAAGATGAGCGATAGACAAAAATAAGGTGCATGTCTGTCTAACAAAGTTTGCACAGGCTTCACGTGAGAATCACATTTCTGCTGTACAATTCCACTCAGGGTAATTTCACCACCTGAACTTTTAAGGTCCTATCTTGGTCATAGTAAAGGTTGGACATAAATGTTGACTCTAACAGTCGAGGCTATGCAGACGTTTCATTATTAGGATTATTATCACACCATAAAATGCTGACATGTCTTTGCATAATTGTGTTGGGAAGACTGTCAGGAATCTGGTGTTATCAGAACCATGATGGTGGGAAACTGTATGACTTGAAATGAGGAATGGAAATAATTGTCACTACTTTATTCTATTCTACTTTTATTCTGTGGTCACATACAGGAGCCAATCGCAGAAGTGTTGGGTTGCCGTTTTGAAGACGTGGACCACATCAGGATGGCTGTGACGACGGAGCTGCAGAGGATCCAGTGCATGGCGGCGTGAAGGCAGAGAAGGCTGGGGAGGTGAGTTAGACTCCAGGGGGATTACTTGGAAGGAGAAAACTTGTAGTTTGGATTTGAAATATATCTTTTGTTACACCAGTCCTGAAACTTTTCTGACACACCTCATACAATAAGTGCACTGCATAGATTTAAACCTATCTAGATATTATCATATCTGTGCAATCATGAGCCCATGAGCACTTCACACTAGAGCAATGGTTATGGAGACAGACACATCTGCTGCCGGTTGAAGCTATGATTAAAAATGATTTCTTCCCTGCAAACACTTTGTCAACTAACACTATTGGAAAGGTCAACTTGTGTGGTTGTGTTTGGTATGCGCTTACACCTACTGCAATAAATACTTTGAGAGCAATTCGACTGAGAAGAAGGGATGTGAATCTGGACGCAAAGTGCTCCAGAATATAAATACACAAACCCTAAAGTTTTGTATTACATGTGCTGCATTCATACAGAAGAAAATGACAGAAAACACTACAGTTGTCAAAGGGAGCGTTCAGATCAGGAACGAGGTGCAGACGTTCTAGAGTTAACCTCAGCACAGGAGCAAACAGGAGGCAGCTAAAAAGTTCAGGGAAAAAACACGTACCAAAAATCCAAGTGAATGTTCAACTTATCCAGAGAAAAGCAAAAATCATGAATGCAAAATCCAAAAAACAATGAAACACAAACCTGGGGGAACACGAAGGGCACATGGAGCAGGGAGGCAATCTGGCAGGTGATACAGAAGGGTAACGAACAGGAAAGGAAACAGGACGAACTGACAAAAGACAGGGGAAGGTACAAGACTATATATACAGAGAACTGACTGGGGAGACAAGACACAAGTGAAACTAATGAGGAATGAAGCCGAGACAAAGAGAGGACGTGACACACAAGGACGGGGATCTCTGCAAAATTAAACAGCAAACAGCTGAACCAAACTCAACGCCATGACAACAACTATTACATCTGACGTCTTATTTTTACTGGACCAACCTGATTTTCATCACATTCACCAAAGAAAGTTTAATCTGATCTCATCTTGCCAGATCTCTCCCTGTTTGCTTCCAGATGCAAATTATTCAGGAGGCTAAAGAAACCCCTCATTATCCTGTCAGACATGTTCCGTCTCCTCATTTGTATTTCATCTGTCCGCTCTCGCTGCCTCTCTCCTCATTTAAACTGGTGTTCGTGCAGCGTTTCTTGTCCGTCAGGTGACTCACCGCTGTGGCAGATGGCGCCGCTGTATCCGCTGTCAGAGCAGTTGCAGTGGAAGACGTTCCAGGACTGACTGCAGCGGCCGCCGTGCTCGCAGCGGCTGGGAGAGCACCTGAAACACAGGTTAAATAGATCAGGTTTGACAGGCTGATGTTTCCGAAACACGTCTCCTTGATCTGCTGCCGGCAAAAGAAGGCCGTGGACACTGAAACCTTCCTGCATCTCTGGAAAATGAAGTGGAGCAAACACGTTTTTATATGTAAACATCATTCATAGTTCAGACAATTTACTTTTGTTTGTTCTTGGAAACTTAAATTAAAGATACTCTGGCTGCTTTTATGAAGTTCGATTTCTGCTGCATAACCAAAAAACATCCACAGTGAGCTGAGAGTGTAAAGATGCTAAATTAACACCAGGAAGAACATCACGCAGCAGCAAGTTCGATTAAAGCATGTGTATTGTAAAGTATACCGGAGAAAGGGAATCCGTTACAACAGGAGATTCTCTGTTTCCACTGCTGATCAGTTCATAGAGAATTTTAACATTTGCTCCATTAACACACGTACAAACACACTTGTTGCATGTGGAGGTCAGAAAAGGATTTCAGAATGACAAAATAGATGCATAAATAAATTAAAAATAAACACATCTTGGTAACAAAAAAAAGGGAACTGATAAAATAAATTGATTTTAAGGCTCAAGAGTCCAATAAAGAGACACCAAGCAGGTTTGTTGAGTCTCTATCTTCATTCAAGAAATTATTTCTTTATATACATACCGTATATTTATGTTTTATGTCTGTATTTCTACATTTCTTCATTGTTTTATGTATTTCTGTATTTATGTGATACTGGCCTCGCTCAAAGCCACTGTAGGTCGGTAAGAGAAGCTTGAGTATAGTCAGCTGAGGCTCATCTCATTTTACCATCGTTTTTGTTCCTCGTACTTTGAGCCTCCTCGTCTCCTCCGTCCTCCTTAAAAGATGCGTAAATTTCTAAAATGCATCTGGAGGACAGAGGAGGCTTGCCATTGGAGTTCAAGATGCACAGGTTTCATTCTTCCTGCATCCTTTTAGAAGAAGCTTTTCTGTGACGCCTAACAAACAGCTGGAATATACAAACTACTGCAGGGACAGAACAGTGGGTACATCATTCAATCATTATGTAGGTCACTCTTTTTTGTATAGTACTCTCTGTTAAACTCCACGACTGTGTATTTATGTTGAATAAAAATCCCAAACTGTAGAACTTCTGCACATTCTTGTCACATTTTGCCACATTGTGAGCTGACAGTCTACCGTGAGGCATCATGAACGCTGTTCATCATCTGACAGCGATCGTAAAACACACCAAGAAGCTGCAACAAAACAACGGACAGATGATGCATCTGTGCCACACGTCATACATAACTCGCGTCGCTTTAAAACACTCTAAATGACTGATTCATCCACTTCTTGTGTCTCCTCCTCGCCTCCTCTGCTTGCATCGCTGGTGAGATCGAATAGGACAAGAGGATTTGAGGATGTACAAACAGAAACAAGAGGAGCAGCTTGTGTCGTGTGGATTTGATGGGAATCGTTTGCTGACTTCTTTTGACTGAGACGAACACATGCAGATACAGAAATAGATGGAACAGGAGGCGATGCATGGAAATGTAGAAATAAATCGCAAACATTTGTTTAATTGTGTCTCTTCTCATCACTAAAATGCATGCATTCTTCATTTATTTCTGCATTTATATGTGTGTCTACACTGTTGTTGTCATTTTTCATCTTCCATACACGCTGCCCATTAACACAACCACAGTGCAGAGGATAGACTAAGTAAAAACACAAAAAAAACACATCCTATATATTCTAAGAGTAATTCAAAAGATGAATGAATAGTATAGGAATAAACTCAAATAGAAATGCATTGTGGGTAATGTGGACATTAGGTTTCGCAAAAAGAGAAATGCACAGAAAAACTGCACAAAGGAGTCAAGTAATGGTAGAAGAGTGATGCTAAATCAGTAGAGTCTAGTTTGAAGGCAGCTGAAATAACTCTGTTAACACACTGACAGGCTGCTGCTGCTGCAAACATGGGCCTCACTGTAACTGTAATGAAAGTGGTTCTGAGCATTTAAAAGCACTTTGATTTTGGGGTCACAAACTAAAGCTGATTATTGGAGAAATAACACTTTCAAACTCCTTTCAAAAGAAGAAAAAAAAAACTTCATTAAATTAGACCTGTTGCTAAAAATGCAGCTTTCCATTTCACAGAAGGACAAAAGCCTTTTAGCCAAAGCTTCTCAAGGTTGTTCATTGGATGTCCATGAGCACGTCTAAACATGCTAATAAACAGCAGCTCAAACAGAACACCTTTCATATTAATTATGAGGCTTTTGCATTTAGGTGAAGTTGCAGAAACAAAAAAAACAAAACAATTTCCTTGAATAGAAAAGAAAACTTCTAAAGAACATTCGTTTTAAACACCTTTCACCAAAACTTAATTACATTTCATCGCAGGTTCTCGCTTTGCACTTTACTTTCAATTTATATTTGAGGAAAACTTTCCCCGTTGAATAGAGAATATCCCGTCACTTCGTCTCGGCGGCACATCTTCTCTGAGTGCCGCCGAACTGTTTGAAGAAGCTCCTTCAATGCATGCAGCCCCCAAGAGACTTCAGTGAGGCTCTGTGCGTTATTTATAGATAAATATCATACTGCTGTAACTGCCATGACATCAGTCCTGTGTAGGAGGAAGAAGAGGGATGGAGGGAACCGAGAGACGCAGGCGGAAATTATGAAAACACAGTGTTTTGAAATAGCAATCAGCAAACTGTGACATTCGAGAAGAAAATTGACAAAGAAAACGCTTGACAGAAGCGCTGATGTATGTTTTTCTTCCTCTACACGTAGGCGACCTATAGTCGATGTAATGTGAGGGGCTGAGAAGCTACCAGGGGATTCTGGAAAACGCTCAGAAATCCAATTTATTTCTGTTTTATTGTGCTTTTCCATTTTTCACTGACTTGTCATCTATACGTGTGCAAATGCGACTCTTGTTTCCGTGGGCCAGTGGAGGTAGTTTATGATCATGAAAACCAATGATAGTGTAATTTATTTCAATAAAAACTACAGAGTGGTTTAGTGTTAGAAAGAATACATGCAAGAAATGTAAGAGACAGAAATGAAGAATAAAGGCATGTGAATATAAAGAAATAAAAGTTTTTAACTGACGTTGTTTAAACGACAGGAATCCATCAACAGAAGTATTCAGAGTTAAAGTCTGATTAATGTGGATATTTGCAGGACTGAGCTCGTGTATTTGGCTGTTAGTGTATCATCACTAATCTGTGAACACCAACTTCTTTATGATCAAATATAATTTCCTTGATGAGAAGGAAGAAAATGCAGCACTTCAGCTGGAAATAATAAAATCTTGATCACATTAGAAGGTCACTAACGGCCAACTCCAGAAATGTGCTCTGTTGGTTGCATGAAGTTCAACAATGAAAGTGCAGTTTGCCTTCGTTACTTAGGTTTGTCTTCGTTGCAATCATAATTTAACCATTTAAATCAATGCAGTTATAGAGCGCATCCACAAGGATTTGGATAAAGAAAAAACTATGAAATGTTCAAATCACAAATCTGTATTTTCATGAATACTGCTTTGTTCTGTTACACTGTATGACCATAAAATTACATAATCGTCCACTCAAATCAGCTGAAAACATCATTATTTTACAGATTATATTACTTTATAGATAAATGTTACAGTACTCCACTATTTTTAACTGTGTTTTTGCCAATAACACTTGCATGCTCCTGTCTGACTAACTTTGCATTTTCCTTACTGCGGGCTCTGAAAACAACAAGGTTAAATGCAGTTAACATGGTTTCACAGTTAGTTAAGTCTATTTCCTCACATTATTTAACTTGTAAACCTTATAAGAAGAAAAACAAACACAAGATTAACAGCAGCTATCTGCAATGATGCACAAATCAACCACATAGAATATTATCAGCAGCTCATTTGTATTTTGTTCCACATTTTTTCTAAATGCTGCGCCGGCATTTTTAAATTGAAGATTTTTTTCCTAATTTGCTTGTTGTTTGTATTTTTTCTCAAATTGCTGGAAGTTGAGCTCTCGGGGGTCAACATACCATCATATAGAAATTGTGAGGACAGATAGCTAAAAGCTGTGCAGGTGAAACCGTAACTATGGCTACAGCACCTGAGATTATGTTGAAAATGACACCGATTGTCCTCTGATCTGCTGCGTCTGTCCTTAGACACGTAATGGCATTACATGACCTCACTCTCTTGAGATAAAGACGGCACAGAAGACGATGGGAGGCGATGACTAACAGTATTTTTATCCACACCGGTTGCTTTCCATCTGTTCCCAGAGCGGCTGGCACCTCCAGGAGGTTCGACACCGACAAACATAGACACACTTCTACGTCACCGGTGGCTGCAACGCTCGGCGGGTTGAGTTTTTATGTCTTTATGTCCATAAATGTGCTTTAGTGAGCGTGTTTGCTTATGTAAATGTACGTGCTCAGTGTTTAACTGTGTGTTTGCCCAAACCCAGGCAGCAATATTGAAGAGAAAACAGATGACTGCACAGAATCTGCAGCCTCCCCTTTATTTAGATAAAAGCCCCAACTCAGCAGCCTGTCAGCCTGCTACAGTGTGATTTTTACCTCCATTTATCTCTATACTGCTTTAATCTCAGAGTAAGCTGGAGCCTTGCAGATAAAGCACTTAGCTTTCACTTTAAATTCACATTACCACACCGCTTGGTTCTTCTGAGTTATATATTTAGTATTTGTGCGCCTGAGTTACAGGACTTCAAGGATCTGAGCGTTGATGCCATCACATTCAGCCTGTCAGCGGCGGCGTATACAGTGTACGACGCTTTATAGCAGCTCTGTCTGTCTGACTGCTGATTAGCTACAAAGTCAAAGTAGGTTTTGTTAAGTACGAAGTGTCCAAGCAACATCATCACGTAGATGTGTGGACGCTCAGAGGTGATAAACAAATAGGAATGGCTGAGTGCTTATGAGGAGATGGACAGAAACAGCACAAATTACTGTTGCATTTGTGTTTAACGGAAACTATCCCA